CCAATGATGTACAAGTCATCTATCTTAATTTTAATTGTTGGTGATTGTCAAAATTATATAGACGTCATGGGTTATATTTGTTCACTTTAAAATGTTCTCCTTGTCGATTAGATCGCGTAGCCACAAACGGCTCGTTATTTTGATCTCAAACGAATAAGATACGTTTGTTTTAGTTTTAGGTACGCAAACGTTACTCTAACGACAAGTGCAGCTTTGAACTAACTTATCTCACTCGTTTTGACTCGGAATTGAGATCTGTAAAATTCTATGTGATTGTGGTTGATTTTCCCAACTTTTTTGTATTGAGATTAGATACTAATTCTTGATAAATTGATCCAGAATATTCATACTTGAAATGTCATCAATAAAGTGTTTCAATGACAACTTAAGTGCGTAGGATAGTTTTTAGACAATGCAAACTCAAATCACAAGACCTAAAAAGCATGGAAAACAACATGGATAGTTCACTAAAGCATGGAAAACAACATGGATAGTTCACTACAATGACTTAACACTAGAATAAACACGATAATTTCACTCATTTGCTTCATTCTGGCCCCCATTTTTACCTCTTCCTTTTCGTCCTCCACGACGTCCTCGACCCTTTCTTCCACCTCCTCCTTCTGCTTCTTCGCGGGCTTGCTCAACGACTTGCCGCGGATGTCTCTTAACCCGAGCCTCTACTGGAGTTACGAGTGGCGGTGGAGGTGGCGGTGTCTGAGATGGACCGGTAGACTGCTGGTAGATCGGGATGTGAGGGGTCTATTGCTGCGGGGTGTGATACATCGGAGTATGTTGCTGAGATGGAGCATAGCTTGATGACCCTCCAGCGACATCTGGTGCAGGTGACCACTCGTACTAAAATGGTTCAGAGAGCTAGGTTGCTTGAGTTGTACGCACCTCTTCGAAAGTAGGCAGAGGCCTACGTTTGCTCCTTCGTGGGGGCTCAACCGGGGGCACAATGGGCTCACCATCACGGAATGATGGGCGTGCCGGAGCGGGAATGGGAGGATATGCCACGACATCCCTCCTTTGCTCTCGGGTACAACTCAAGAGGTTGTTCATAAGCCTGCTCAACCAAGATGTTTTGCGCTCATCCATGGTTGGAGCACTATCGAGGGTGTGTTTGGCGTGTTCCAAACCATCAACCTAAGCATGTACATAATAAATCAAAATTAATTAAACCTTAAAACAAAATAATTAGACTCACGAGGGAGATTAGGATGACTTACCAACGAACTCATCACAGCACCTTGCTTTGACACCCATCTATTGGTGAACTTTCGATACCACTGCATGTACCCATCGTGGTAGCCCATCGGTCTCGTCTCCGGCATCCCTTGGACCACCCATGTCCCTCTATTCTCCCAGATGTTGATGTAGTACTGATGCTTTAGGATCCAATTCTTTGAAGCGTGTCGGAGGTCGATGGCATGGAGCTCCCTGAAACCTTGAGGCGGGGTTTGTGGAATTGGTTGCTCCATTCGATATTGCCTCAAGCAACGATCGGGTAGGTGCCTCTCCACGACGTGCCAACATATCAATGGCACCTTGCACAACCATGTCTCGTGATCCAGAGCGTTTCTAAGACGATGCAGTTCGACCACTTCACGTGGGTATGGATCCCAAATTACCTATATTCATTCAAATAATGCAATTAGCGACCATTTACATTGAAAAACCTTAACTTGTTAAAATATTATAAAACATGATTACCTTATTCCACCACGGCTTATCTAACTCAAAACGATAAAACAGTAATGAATGCTCAGGTTGATGGTCATTCGTATTTGCTCCTATCCACCTTGTCAGTAAAAGCATGGAATAAATTTAAATTAGGCTAAGTACAGATTAAATTCAATTTAAATCTAGCTAAGCACGGAATAATATTAAATTAGGCTAAGTACATCCAAAAATTCAATTTAAATCAAGCTAAGCATGGAATAATTGTAAATTAGGCTAAGTACGGAATAAATTCAATTTAAATCTAGCTAAGCATGGAATAATTTTAAATTAGGCTAAGTACGGAATAAATTCAATTTAAATCTAGCTAAGCATGGAATAATTTAAATTAGGCTAAGTACGGAATAAACTTACTTGACACCGTTAGGGCGATTTTGCAGAAAGTTTAGCTCATCATCGGCTCACCGGTATGGACGTGGGTCTAGAGGTGCGAACATTGGAAGATGCTCCCATACCCACAGCTGTAGGATAAACATCGCAGCACCAGCTTCTTTTACTCCCACCTACGAGCAAGTGCACAGCTCCCGGTATATGCCAGCTAACACGGTCGATCCCCAACTCTTTTCCAAAATTGTGTCCCAGTCACCAGTGAGCAATGGCAACCATATGCCTTGGATCCACTGGTTTGACTTGTCAGGGAACAGAAATCCACCCACCAAGCCAATGAGGTAGATGCGTGCATAGCACTCCACTTGATCTTCTGGAGTCTCGTCATTGATTTCCACCTCATTCTGGATGTGAGTTACCAGCCACGGGATCGACACTTGTCCCGCATTCAACGGTGGATGCCCGCGTCCTTGAATTGGTGTGGTGGTCGGCACGTCAAATCCCAATTCAGCAAGAATGAGCGGCCCCCAACCTCCTTGGGTTTGGTACTGGAACCAATGATGGCATCTCCAGAAATCGGCTGCCCGGTGAGGATCGCACGTCTTTGAGGGTGATCGTCATTTCCCCCTCCGCAAGGTGGAACGTATGGGTTTCGTGATTACATCGCTCCGCCATTGCCGTAAGCAGATCATTGTCGATTTCGATCCGCATGAAATGGCGCAACATACCCAACCCGTTCCTCTCTATATAGGGCGCCAACCGTGGATGCCAAGCGGGGAGAGGTGGCAAATGGATTGGATTGGTGGATTGGTGGATTGGATTGGTGGATCCATGGATCAAATGGATTGGATCAAATGGATTGGTGGATTCATGGATTGGATCAAGTGGATTGGTGGATTATCCATGAATCCAAATGACATCCTCAACCAAGGACCAATATGTAAAATGTAAAAAGTTTAGGTACTAAAATGTCACAATGAAAAATTTTAGGTACCAAAACGTAATTTTCCAACGATATTTTTCGTATAAAAAATAAAATTTTAGGTACCAAAATGTAAAAAATAAAAATTATAGGTACTAAACCGTAATTTGCCAATGATCCATGGATCCAATCCAATTGGATTTGGATCAAATGGATTGGATTTAAATGGATTGGATTAGGTGGATATTTTTAATGGATTGATGGATTGGATTGGTGGATTGGATTGAAATTGCCACCTCTACAAGCGGGCAAGTTTGTGGTTCCTTTATGAACGACGGGAATAAGTGATTCCTTCAAAAAAATAGGAAAAACATCAATTTATTAGTTTAAATAAAGCAAAATAAAACCTTAGAAAATAATAAAATAAAGCAAATAAATCATCAAATTGCCAGATTGTTATCCCAAATAGCACGGGAGCGATGAGCTTCTTGATCGGTTAAGAGACTCATATCTCTTGGCCCATAATGGATATACAATCGAGGATCGTATATCTCGGCACCCATCTATAAAAAAAAGTAATAAAATCAGAGATTGTTTTGATAAAAAAATCACAAAATCAAATTGTTTCAATTAAAAATAAAAACACAAAAAAAAAAACCTACACGAAGAGCCTCTTCGTCCATTTTTTGGCAGAAGCCGAACAGAGGTTCGACGGGTTCGGGTTTGTAAGGGACGAGAGCTTAGCGGGACGGGGGCTTTAGGGTCAAACTCTAGTAATTCTTTATGATGTGGAAGATCGGACTTAGTCGCAACCATAGAGCATACTTAGAACGAGACTAGAGCGGATAAATTGAGGGAGAAAGAATTGAAATTGTTGTGGTGTGATTTGTAAGTGGGGGGAAGGGTTCTATTTATAGGGAAGGATGGGAGGCATCTGCGAAAATTAATGGGGATGGTTCACCACGTCCCTCAAAGGCGGTGAATGCATCGCTTTTTCCCAAAATGGTGCCAGACGCAAATCGAGCGACGTGGCGTGCTGTGAGGCGTCGGATCTTGGAAGAAAACCACGATCCGCGCCTCACCGCATCCAACGGCCACGGTGAAAGGAAAAGCGACGCGGATCGTTGACGCAAACAAACACGGGGTATTCACCGCGTTTGTCCACGTCAGTGATCCGCGTCACTTCATCGTGGCCTACAGAAGCGGTTTAATATACACCGTGTTTCAGTAAAACGTTGATCTATTCATCGTTGCCTCTAAAACGGTGATTGACTCGCTCGTTGTTCACCGTGTTAGAGAAGAGCGGTGAATACGTCACCGTTTTTTTTTTAACGGTGAAATGTTCACCGTGTTTGAAAAACGCGGTGATTATATTCACTACGTTTGTCAAAAACGGTGAATGCCAAACATGTGTAGTTTTGGAATTTTTTTATAACTTATGTATTTTGAGAATTTTTTTTAAGAACTAGTGTACTTTGTGATTTTTTCCGCTGTTGAGCTACCGATCTTATGAAATCTACTATTCTTGAACTTGAATATATAAAAGATATGCCCCTATTTACAAAATACAGAGAGGATTCAAGACACCATTGGGAATTGACTTTGATAGGGTATGGTCATAAGTGTTCAAGCTCCAGTGGTTGAAGCAACTGGAATAATGGAGGGTGGAACTATTATTAAGGATTGGAAGAGTAAAATGTACAGTACATATGCTGCTCGAATGTACGAATAGGTTAGAAACAAAGAAATGAAAAGAAACCGTGACCTCTTCAACCAATAGCGATACCGTTAGGACTAGAACAATATACTACTTGGAAATGGGCCATGAACCTTGTCATTTGAGCCCCCCACTCTGCCTGGAAATAATTGTTCTAGCTCCAGCGGTTGAAGCAACTGGAATAATGGAGGGTGGAACTATTATTGAGGACTGGAAAAGTAAAATGTACAGTACATATGCTGCTCGAATGTACGAATAGGTTAGAAACAAAGAAATGAAAAGAAACCGTGACCCTCTTCAACCAATGGCGATACCGTTAGGACTAGAACAATACACTACTTGGAAATGGGCCATGAACCTTGTCATTTGAGCCCCCCACTCTGCCTGGAAATTTGCAAACTCAAGTGCTCATTTCGCTCTTGCAATTTCATTTTGATTACGTTCGTAGCATTCAACCGCAGCACCACCAACCAGAGCAGCCAGTGTAAAAGCTTGCGCGTGCAGCCTGTGATTGGAAGACCAAAGGGTCACAAACGTTGATCAAACGGTAGGGAGAAATTGAATAAGATGATAAGATCAACAACAGCCATCATAACAATTGCCCACGTCAAGATGATCAATAGCTAGAAAGGGAATCAATAAAGAGCAAAATAGGATAACAAATGCATTTGTGGTTTGAAATTCCTAGTAGGTGCAAGATTGGCCAGCCACCATTGCTGCGGTTCGATGGCCAAACTAATTTTACAAGTTGCAGCAGTCGATAACATTCTATTCCACCAATTTAACACCTTTAGTTATCAATGATGAGGGAAAAAGCCACAGATAGCCTACCAACATTTTTATCACTGAACCGACTTTGCGACAACCAACAGTTATTCACAAACAAGATAAAGTGAAGACTCATTGCTAGATTCTCAAACATTCAGGAATTAAGAAGAGAATTGTTGCCTGAATTGTGCTCCTTAAACTCTGGTATCGTTCCCAACAATTTCAATCATGGCAGGGCATAATGCTATTCGATCGATATTCACCAAAGCTGATAGAACCTCTAGAAAATTCTAGGAAGCTGAATTCTCCAGTCTCAACCATCAACTTACATTCTCTCCCTGAACATTTAACTTAGCGGCAGATCATAATTGTTGTTCGATAATTTATCTGAAATATGTTAAGCTGGGCTCTTAATACAATATTTAGTTTTGCACAGCAGAAACAGGACAACATTAGGTTGATCTGAACAAAAAAAATATCAACATTATTACAATCTACATTACTAGAGAAATCCTCATGAATACATGAAAAAGGATTGATTTGCTCGGTTGATGAGATAACCCAAAACACCACCACATTCACAAATCAATCAATAACAAATAACCCAAAACCCGAAAAGAAACAAATGCTAAAGCTCGAAACTTTTATTACCTAGCATGGATAATCTTGACGCTGGTCTTCATGTTGGGTTGCGACCAGTTGTACGCTATCGAGCCAGCAATCCCGCTCGCCCACAAGCAAGCTTCAACCAATCAATCAATCAATCAAAACAAAACTCCCCCAAAAACGAAATCAGTAACCAAATCCCTAATTACCCATAATGGAAAACCTAATATTGACAGGGAGAAGAGGATCGCAGAAGTCTTACCGACGGATCTCATCTTGTGCTTAGTGACCAGTCCCTGATTGATTCGAACGTGCCGTTGCCGCCCTCGCCCATTTCTTTCTCCGGCGAGTTCCCTTTGCTTTTCCGACGAAAATATCAGCGGGGATTGTTTCTGAATATAAGATTAAAACCAGAATACTAGATTGTGGGCGCTTGTTTTGTTGCAGTTGAATTTCCTGCGGCTAACTGGTTCGTATTTATATCTTGGGGGGAGCCGATGGGGAAGGAAACAGCGAAATTGGCGACAAAATGCTTTTTGTTTCCGGACATTATTTTAGGGCGCCGCAGGAGGCTAATGATGTGGCGGCTGACCGGAGAGGAGACTCGCCACGTTGGTCGGGTCGGTTTCGTACATGTTGATTCATTTTGGATTAAATTTTTGAGAATCGCAGTTAAATAGTACAAGATATTTTAGGATAAGAACCAGATCATTTTACTAGCAATAACTTTCGATACGATCTTATAAATAAACTGACAGAGGTTAATCAGACTAAACTCATTTTGTATATTCGATGATAGCGGAAGCAAACAAAAGAGATGAGACAATGATTTACATGGTTTTCCTACTCGATGTGAGTAGGATAGTCCATAGAGAGCTGGAAGCTCTTAGAGAGGGTTATATTATTGTTCTTTCTTCTTGTGTTCGATGGCAGGCCACACTACATATAAATACAACTTTAACCTAGCTCCTCTATGTAGCAACATGGAGAAAAGATAATTACAAAGAGATCCCTATAATTAATATAAGTAACATATAGGAATCACAACACGTCCCCTCAAGCGAAGGAGTGGATGTCAAGAAGGCCGAGCTTGAGAGAGAGGTGATGAAAGTGGTCAACGCTCAAACCCTTGGTGAATAAATCAGTTGGTTGATCTACAGTAGAAATCTTGATTGGGGCAACCTCACGAGACAGAATGCGTTCACAAACAAAGTAGCAATACATCTCCACATGATAGGTTCGTTCGTGAAACACCGGGTTAGCAACAATGTGAAGGGCGACCTGGTTGTCACAAAACAAAGGAGTAGGAGTCGTGGAAGAGACACCGAGATCCTGAAGCAACCAACGAAGCCAGATCACCTCACTAACTTTGTTTGCCATGGCACGATATTCAGCTTTTGCAGAAGAACGCTCAACGACAGTTTGTTTCTTCGTGTGCCAGGAGACAGGAGAAGATCCAAGCATAATAAAATACCCAGTGGTGGAGCAACGAGTGAGAGGGCGCCCACCCAAGTCCGCATCACAGAAAGCCTTCAAGGTGAGAGGGGTAGTAGCCGAGAGGAAAAGACCTCGTCCCGGACAGAATTTAAGATACGAAGCACACGAATGCCAGCATCTTCATGAGCTTTGGTAGGGGACTACATGGCCTGACTGAGAAGATTAACTGCATGGGTAATGTCTGGACGGGTGACCGTGAGATACAACAGACGGCCAACGAGACGCCGATAGGCACCACTATCAGCAGCTAGAGGGGAAGGGAGCCGACCCAACTGATGTTATTGTTCGATGGGATTCGAACATGGTTTGGCAGCTACCATCCCAGCATCATCAAGAATATCAAGAACATTCTTGTGTTGATTCAACACAATACCATGGGGCGAACGAGCAATAAACGCGAGATCTGTACTAGCGAGAATAACATCATCAACATAGATAAGAGCCACAACGGAAGTCTCACCCTGGCGATATGTGAAGAGGGCATGATCATCACGACTCTAAACAAAATCGAGCTCAACCAAAGCCTAAGAGAACTTCCGGTACTAGTTGCGTGAGACTTGACGCAACCCATAAATAGACTTGTGGAGAAGACAAACTCGAGAATCCCCAGAACTTGCAAAACCCTGTGGAATAGCCATATAGACCTCCTCGTGAAGATCTACATGTAAAAAGACATTATTCACATCAAGTTGATCAATATGCCACCCACGCACAATGGCAATAGAGAGCAAGCATCGAACAGTAATGAGCTTAGCAACAGGAGCAAAAGTGTCATGATAATAGACACCCTTAATCTGAGTATAACCTTTGGCAACCAAACGGGCTTTGTAATGCTCAACAGTACCATCAGGTTTGAACTTAATTTTGTATACCCACTTGCACTCGATCGTCTGCTTGCCATCCGACAAATTAACAAGAGACCACGTGCCGTTTGCGATCAAGGCATCAATTTTCCGTTGAATGGCATCTCTCCCATGCTTAAATCAAACAGCCTGATAATAGTGAGTAGGCTCAAAAGTAGCACTTACTGCAGCTATATAGGCATGATGCGCGTTGGAAAAACGGTGGTAGGTAACGTAATCGCCAAGTGGATAGTGAACAATGGCTGAATGAGAAGCCCCCGGTAGATTGACGTCAAATCCCTGTAGATGAGTGGAAGAAAACCGAATACGGTCACTACGTCGCACGGGAGGGGCGTCTGGAGGCGAAACAGGAGGCAAAGCTTCTTCACTGGGTGAGACATGACCAACAGGAGATGCGAGCGCCTCCTCTGGTCGAGAATCAGGCTGAGAGGCAGGAGAAGCCTCGGCCGAGATGGAATGCACAGGAGAATGAGGAGATGGGGACTCCACCAGCCGATAAGACTCCCCTGCATGCATGGCTGAGTCTTCGTGATGCGAAGCAAGGAGAGGCTCATTCATCCTCATCATCATCAAAAACCGACGGGGAGGATCCACCAAAGGAAGGAATGGAAACAAGGGCAGGAGTAGGATCCACGCTGCCCTCCAAGTCTCGGTAGGGGTAAACCTGCTCAAAAAACTTAACATCGCATGATATGTAGACAACACGACGCTTGAGATCATAAACCCGTTAACCACGTTGATTCGAAGGATAACCAGGAAAAATACCTGCCATGCCGTGTGCAGCAAACTTGTGTAAGGTGCGATGATTGTCTTTGGCGTATACCAAACAACCAAAACTGTGAAGATGCTCGTACGAGGGATCCTTCTCGAACATTGTGTTAATAAGATAAGCTGCCGTTAAAACACGTTCACCCCAAAATATTATAGGTAATCCAGCATGAAAACGCAGTCCTCTGGCCGTGTCCAGTAGGTATCTATGCTTGTGTTCCACAACGCCATTTTGTTGTGGGGTGTCCGTACACGACATCTGCAAAATGATCCCCTGCTCTTCTGATAGACCGTTAGTTACACATGTTTTTACCCCTGCTCTTACTCCGTTTGAGGTATTGATTCTCGTGTTTTAGGCCGATTTCACGCTAGGTTGTGCTTGTTTATGATATTTCAGGTCCTAGTACGTGAATGGAGGCTTGGGAGCGAGTTTGAGGTCGATTGGACGAGGATCGGACGCATGGCGAGGTTCTGAGGAAGTCGCACGGGCACACCCACAACCCGCACGGCCGTGCAAGTGACCAGTTTGGCCGTGCGGGATTGTGCGAGAGCACGCACGGGCAGAGCAGAAAACCCGCACGGCCGTGCAAGTGACCAGTTTGGCCGTGCGGGATTGTGCGAGAGCAAACACGGGCACAAGTGAAATCCGCACGGCCGTGCAAAGTGCAATCCTGGCCGTGCGAGATGGCTGAAGTTCGACTTAATGGTACGCCGCGTTTTGAGCCGCACGGCCAGAATGGTGATATGCACGGCCGTGCACCCTGGCCGTGCGAGTCGGGAAATCCTGGTTTTAAAGCCTATTCCGAGCCAAAAGTAAGGGATTCGAGTTTTTGAGAGACAGAGCGGTTCCTAGAGAGAGAAAGCAACGAACAAGAGCCTCCAAGTGCCCTAGCTTGATCTTCAACACCATTGGAGCTTGGCTTGAGCTTGGAGAAGTGCCGATTCAACGTCCAGGAGCAGAAATCCATCTTCACAGTATGATTTCCGCGTCTGATTCTGCTTTTGCTTCTTTCTCCATGGAGTAGTTCTCCCATTCATCTGGGTGTGGGAAACCCTAGTTCTGTATGTTAGGTTTGATTGTATGAACCCAAGTACTGTTTCTATGAATTGATTATATTCGATTGAGGTTTGAATGATTGAATGACATGAATCCTGATCAAATTCCTGTTGTTTCTGCTTTAACCTAGAATGATAATATCTGCCTAGGTTGATAGAGTACCCTTAATCGAAGGTAGTGAATTGGTGACTTTAGTCGAGGAGCCAATTCACTATTCTGTACCGAATTCAATTCGGTAGTGGAGGTTTTGTTCATAGGGCCTCAATCTGTTTACTCCGGTGGAGGTTAGTCGCCCGCTAGAGACTCAGATTGAGAGGGTCTGAAGACCTTTAGTCGAGACTTCAGACTGTTTGAGAACCTTCCGCAGTATAACTATCATAGAAATTGAACTTGGTAATTACAATCCGGCTTAACTGCAGACTAGGGGGAACCATATCCGGGTTACCTCTCTTAACCTGAAAACAACCGTTTTAGTTACTTTGCTTGCTTGTTAGTTTAGAACTTCACTAAAGTTTCATTGCTAGATAATACGAATTCACTGAGTAGTCATCACATCTAGGACCCGGGTTGACATTTAAAACCCAAACCCGCTATACTACGCTTTAGGAAGTGGTTACACTTGGCCAATTTCTAGAGTGACAGTAGGAGTGAGTCATCTTCATAATAGGTAGCAAGCGAATGACAAGAAAACACCTCTACGTAGCAACACGGAGAAATGCTAATTACAAAGTGATCCATATAATTAACATAAGTAACATATAGGAATCACAACGAATTTATCCTCTCCACGACATCAACTTTTGGGATCTGTTGAAATAACTTGAATCGGATGATATGTGCCGAACATGTGATCATTCGCACTCACTTCTTCCCCTCTCTTTGGTTGGATTCTTTGTGATCAAAGTAGTTCATGAATCCTTCGTTTATTGTTGAACGCCCTTAACCCGACACAAGATGTGACCCTATTTAGATAATCGACTTAGTCAGCCCAACATAGGTTGTCCACAAAAAATGGGAAGTTCCCGTGATTTAAGGTTTCTGGATATCCTACCCTAATACGAGAGGATTGGGCTTAGAACAAGACCCATCGGTGGATAAGATCACATCCTCATAACAAAAAGGTGTACACGTTCGGCCTCACTCAAGGTAATGGGCCAAACCTAACGAGTCCAAACAAACTGGATCTTATTTTGTGGCAAAACCACATATTGGTCATTTTTTCGGTCATTTTCTCAAGCAATGCAATAGGGTTTTACCAGTCCCAACAGAGCCTGTGATAAACACAGATTTGCCCTGAGGGATGGCAGACAAAATATGCTTCTGTGAGCAGCGATTCAACTGAACGTTCCAAACGCATCCAGACAAAATAGTTTTGATTATTTTCCTTTAGCTGGGCTTCGGTCCCCCCACTTTTCTCGAAGTAAGATCTTATTCTTTATAAAACTGTTGGAGAAGTACTATAAATACTTCACATTTGTAATATGTAAGCTCCTCAAGTACAATGAAATTGAATCTTTCCCGCCCATAGACTAGTTAATACACGTTGTATTAGTATTTAGTAAACCACATGAATTCTTGTGTTCTTTACTTTCTTACTAATTATTGTCTTCTTTGTTATTATTGATTACTCCAATGTGTGCGCATAACAGGATAAAAGAAACCCAAGTATGATTAAAATCTCTTAGCATCTTACCCGTTTTGAACAAGGTTAAGCTAGAGTATGATTAAACTTGAGCTATAGTATGAGATTTAGGTCTCAACTCCACGATCCAAGTTCAAGGAGCAAACCAACCTTGGCCCGAAGTTCAAACTTTAAGGAAAGCCCACGGATTCAGGATAAGGTGGCAAAGGAAAAACCAACTTCGTAACCGAATTTTGAAAAACGCGGTTTTGTGTTTTTGTATGTTGTGCTGTCGCCTTTCTTTTTCTCTGTGTTCTCCTTGCTTGCTTGCTCTCACATCGCACTCCTTTCCCTCCCCTTTGAAGATTTCAACCTCTGGTCAATCATTCATATTTTTCCCAATACAAATAATTATTGGATAATAGAGTTTCCCAATTACTGTTTGGCAGTTGGCTCAGATAATTAGCTTCCCACTTCTCCTTCCATTTCCTTCCCCCACAGAGAAAAAACAAACAGAGGAAATCAAGTCATCGAAACGAAAAAAATAGAATATTAGAATTGTCAATCATGGACGGAGAGAAGAAGAAGAACGATAATTCATGGTGTAAATGAAAGACATTTCCCCCTAAATCTCTCTCTCTTTCTCTCTCTATAAGTTTCTTCCTTTCTTTTCCTTCTTCTTCTTTGGAAAAATTTGAGGTCGTGGGTCAAAATTAGGCCGTACCCATCTCATATCACTGCGCAAAATTTTAATCTTGAGAGGTTGCCGTGTTGATTGGTGGGATTTGGGGAAGTGGGTTGCGAGCAGAAAGAAAGATGATGATGATGACGATGGAGGGAATGATGGATAAAGGAGTACTGGAGGATATCATAAGGAGGCTGTTGGAAGGAAAAGGAGGGAAGCAGGTTCAGCTATCGGAGTCGGAGATCCGTCAATTGTGCGTTAATGCTCGCCAGATTTTCCTCTCCCAACCTAATTTGGTCGAGATCAAAGCTCCAATTCGCATCTGCGGTATAACTTCCATCTCCCTTTTGTTTTTCTTTGATTTGGTTGGGATTTGCAGATTAGGTTTGATTCTGGTTCAGCTGATTGAGAATTCGACAATGAATCTGTGTTCATAGTGTGCACAAGGAAGAGATGGTGCAATTGGTAATTGGATAGGGGTGATTATTTCCGGAGGGCGGGGCGGTCAACGATTATGGTTATGAAAGATGAATTGTTGAGGGGCGTGGCATGATGTAATCCAAATTGGGATTGGTTGATTGAATATAGAGAGAATGAGTACAGCTAGGTGATTGTGAAATTATGTTAATACTTTCAAATTAGGTCTCTCTCATTTCTGATTAGAAAGATAAGCAGGCTAACAGGTTGTCTAGGATTCGGGAACTTTCATAATAGAAGATTGTTAGGTTGGATGGATTGCAAATGCAGGAGATGGAGACATGTTTACTTTGCAATCTTGAATCATGATCAGAAGTTCCGTGGTTTTGAGCATTCAATGATTTCCTTATCCCACATCTTTGTAGGTGACATACATGGACAATACCAAGACCTTCTGAGGCTATTCGAATATGGAGGGTACCCTCCTTCTGCAAACTACCTCTTTCTAGGGGACTACGTCGATCGAGGGAAGCAAAGTTTGGAGACCATATGCCTCCTCCTCGCCTACAAAATCAGATACCCTGACAAAGTCCACCTATTGAGAGGCAACCACGAGGACGCAAAGATAAACCGGATATATGGTTTTTACGATGAATGCAAGAGGAGATTTAACGTCCGACTCTGGAAAATATTCACCGACTGCTTCAACTCTTTGCCCGTGGCAGCTCTCATTGACGAGAAAATACTCTGCATGCATGGAGGGTTATCGCCTGACTTGGAGAATTTGGATCAGATAAGAGAGATTGAGAGGCCAACCGAGATTCCAGATAGTGGTCTTCTTTGCGATTTGCTTTGGTCTGATCCACATCCAACGAATGAAGGGTGGGGGGATAGTGATCGAGGGGTTTCGTGCACGTTTGGAGCTGATAGAGTTGCTGATTTTCTTGATAAGAATGATCTTGATCTTATATGTAGAGGACATCAGGTAATAATTTCATTCCTCTCTTGGTCTAGTTTTCAGTTTTGAAGAATATGTCTATGTAATGATCATTTGGGGATGAGTTAGGTTAGAGAGAGTTTAGTGGTAAAGCCGTGTTGTTGACAAGGAATGGGGAGTTTAGAAGAATGAAGGATTGCTTCTGAGAAACATGGATTGTAAGACAACGTTGGCCCCCATATGTGGAATATATGAGCTCAAGATTAAGAACGCTTGTTATTGAATATCTTATCTCAAGAGTCATTTGGAAGTATTACAAAGACTTGTTAGGTGCTTTGTTCTTTTTTTACCTAACTGTACAGCCACTGGACACCTCTCTTAAGGGTCAATTAGCTAGACAACCACTGAACTAATTTGGGTCATTAAAATCGATTTTCAAAAGAACTTTTGATGATGTCAGAAGAAGTTGGCACGTTAGCATGGACAAATTTGGATGAAAAATATTATACAAATGGACAAAGTGATTGGTATGTGTCCATTTATGTGCCTGCTTGTTTTCAGAAACCAATCTGTTGCTGTTTGCAAGTTTCTCTCAGGTGAATAGTAACCAAGCATGCCCCATGTTCTCAGATTTGTCATGTTTAAAAATCTGCAGGTTGTGGAAGATGGGTACGAGTTCTTTGCTCAGCGGCGATTGGTTACGATCTTCTCTGCTCCTAACTATGGTGGGGAGTTTGACAATGCAGGTGCTCTATTGAGCGTCGACGAATCCCTGGTTTGTTCCTTTGAGATACTAAAACCAGCTTTATCAGCAAGCAGCAGTTCAAAGCCCCTTAAGAAGGTATATAAATTTCCACATTCACCTGTTTCTTTCTTTCCTTTTCTCTTTTTCCTTTTGGGCATATGAAATCAATCTGATCTAACAATTATAAAAATAAAATAAAAAAGCAATCTGACTAAGAATTTTACCCTCTTTTCATTGGTTTTGGGCAGCCTCCTAAAACTAGTTAAAGCTTGATACAGAACAAGAACGGAGATTTGGAGTTTTACTTAACTGTCGCATGTGATTAGGAGAAGATCTTGGAGTCGAGAAATTCAGGCTTACAGAAGAAAGAAGCTCTCTTCTTTTCAAACCCACATACACATAGCTATGTTCTTTGTTTTTCTTCTCTTTTTGAGCTGTATAACCTCTTCTGTAACTTGTTATTCCTTTGGATTAATTAGCATTTTGCTGTCTGTAAAGTTAATTTAAAAGGGATTAAGAAAAACAGCCTGCCCTTGAAATTTTCTTCTCTGGTGTATGTTTGTACAAGTAAAATTGTTTTTTGGCTTACGATGGAGAGTCCTTTCCTTCTCCAATTAATGCAGATATTGTAAGACGTTGAAGCAACTAGCGTCACAGTCACTCCGGTTCATTTCCGTCCACACAATTGACAATCCTATTAGTGAAAAAATCGTTAAACAATCAACGTTAGTGACCAAAAAGTTCAGAGCTACTGTTTTTGTAATTGGCCCCAAATCATACTTCATAGATCGGCAATATATGCAGCAGAACCAATATTCTGAAACTAAGCTGAGATCAATAAGAGGCCTCATTCTCATTCTCATTCTCATTCTCATTCTCATTCTACTATTCTAGCCATCGGAGCAAAAATCTATTGTCAAAGAGACCAACTATGGTGGTTGACAAGGAAATGGCAACCATGTCTTCTTTTGTACAACAGCCTGACAAACATCCCCCGAGTTCTTTTGCAACTTAAAGCATTGAATAATCCTCGCATTAGGCGATTCTGAAATTCCAGCAGACAGCTTGTAGAATACGGTCTGGAGAAAAGCAAATCCGAGAGCCAGAGAAAGCTGCAAAAGATGTAAAACATGTGCTTGTCAGATCCTCTGATTCCAGAGTGATTTAGTTTTGACAATCAAAATAATTAATGAATGGCATAGTAGTTGGAAGCATGTTCTAAGAACTTCCCATTTTCCAGTAAATCGATGTAGGAGAAAGTATTCAGCTGACGAACATCAAGAACTAATCGAAAGACCAACGAAATAGGTATTTATGTGATTACAGTAGTATGATGACTCACCATAGTACTCAACCCAAGATCAAGCTCATAATTGGATGAAACGTTCATCTTAGATTCCCTCTTCTTTTCCCTTGCACATCAGACTGGTTCATCTTTCCATCCAGTCTCCTAGCTGCCCTCTGTATAGCTGCTAGCTTCTGACGCCGACTGTAACTCTTCCTTTTGCTACAATGGTCACCAAGTAAAGTGGCTTATTACTTCTCGATCTTGGAACCCAAATAGACCTTTGTAGCATATAGAAGGCGCGAAGAAAGAGGATCTAACCTTACGAACAAGAGTCCTGCAGTAAGAACCATCCCTCCAACAGCCCAAGAAACCTTTTCACTAAATGACATCTCCAGCACCCTTAGCTGGAAACCTTCTGACCATCTCGAACTGACCGGTCTCTGGTGAATCTCTGGTTGAGTCCACGAATCAGCAATGTGATCAAGACTGCGTTTACCACCATAGCAAGAAGCTTGATTGGCAGCACGGTATGAATGCTCGGCAACTTCAACGCTGAAACCCAATGCAGTGCAGAAATCTGTTCCATTGGACACCCACTCTCCAGCTCTACCGCAGAGAAAGTCGTTCACTCCACATGGTGCTAGAAACTGACAGGAAGAGCAAGAAAGGAAATGTTCTTTGTCAATCCTTCTGAGAGAAGAAAGTAAGAAAAGTATGCATTATCTCGAATCTGCATGACTTGTTAGACAGTAATGGATGGGTTTTGAAATAGATTGTTGGTGGTGAATTGTGAAAATTAATTATTCAGATGGAATATCTCTTATCCAGTGGATTGTGAGTGATGGCCTGTGGGAAATGAGACCAGAAGACACCATTGGCATTACAACTGCTACAACTTTTTAATTTCCTCGTTAATTTCTGTCACTCACTTTTCATGCTTTTCGGAGGCAATTATTGTAATTAGTGAATTGACCAGGACAAAATTGTCCAACATTGGAGAGATTTTAAAAAACGACCTACTCAAGGTGATATTTCCAATCCATCCAATAGCTATATTTTTCAATCTCTCTATTCCAAAATCCCCCACCATCAAAAACATCCAAATGAGAGATTTCGGTTAAATTCATTAGTTGCTGGATTCAAGGCAACAAACCCTAAAGTTTTGTTACCATGCCAACTTATTTCAGATAGAACCTAGACTGATTTCATCATTATTTGATGAGTTCTAATGCTATTAGATACTTGAGAGAAAATGTTATTGGATACTTAAGACAGAAAATGATACCCGTGTTTTGGAATCCATGGAGAAGTAAGCATCACCACAGGATTGAAAGACTCGGTCACAAAGAGAAGCACATATAACAGGAGGTCCAGGCTGGATACCGACTAACGGATCACAAATCGAACATTCCAAGGCTTCCCATAACTGCAAGCATGATTCTTTGGCTTCCCCCACTGAAGCCAGCCTCCTAAGGGACAGCAAAGCAGGATACGTCTGAGCTACATCACAGCAAGTCTTTTTGCGAAAGACCCTGCAAAGGGTCAAATCTCTGGGACCCTTGCTTACCTTTTTAGGAGGTTGGCTTTCAGTTGAGTACGGTGGGAAACGACCACCTTTAGAGACACAGACCCCCTCTGATTTCCCTGCAGGCAGGCATTAACAGAAAATTATAGGCATATGTCATGTGAGTTCACCCACCTTACAGAAATTGGCTGAACTCTCTGGCTATAGACATTGTTTTTATGTGTACGAGCTATAGATATTGACTTCCTAAATATCATAGCCATGATCCAAGAACTAAACAATCATAGCCACTAATATTTAAGAAAAAGAATAGAGCCCCAAATGCAAACTTCCCAAGGCACTATAAATTATCAAGAGGAAAACTGAACCTTAACTATTAGAATTAAGACCATCACAAAACCCTCTCACTATTGACACCATATAAGGAGAGGTATGGAATCCTAAATGCAAAGTTCAAAAGCCTCTCAAGAGGCGATAACTGAAACTTAACTGTTCAATTTTAGACCATAACGAACACTCTCACCATTTCAATAACCAAGTATTTCTGCAGTGAACCAAAAGCAAAGTCTAATACAAGTACTATATATGCAAAGTTCCCGAATCCACTCCATGTTTCGAAGAAGCCAATGTCTATAGTAAACCAAAGTCATCATTTAATACTTTTTTTTGCTTCAATCTGGACTACACAAAAAAAAAAAATTTGAATTTGCTTTTCGAGTAGATTCGTTACTCATACTTTCAAGTGGCTAAACCATCCTTATATCATTCAATTACAGACCACTACAAACACTCTTCATCACCATTTCAAAGATCAAGTTATATCTAGCACTATAGAATAACCAAATCCTAAGAACCAAGTGAAAAGAATCAAACAACAGAATCTTAGCTCAAAGTCCCCGTCTTTTGACACCTAGATCATTACCCAGTAAGAAAACAGAAGACTACTAAACGCCCTCCTGAGTAATCAAGCTAGCGATCTAAAGCGAATCCAAGTGAAATGAAAACTCCCCGCATAACCCCAATTCAGGTTTGTCAAAATCCAAAGCAGACCAAATCACATCTAGTTATGAGGCCATACTAACGCCTAATTCTTCACCTCTTCGGGCTGCTGATCTAACGAAGATTTAAAGAAAAGGAGACAAGTTATTACCAGAAGAGAAACTGATTCGCAAGTGAAGAGAGAGAATGAGCAGGGCAAGAATTCCGAAATCCTTCTTCTTCTTCATCTTCCTTTTCCTTTTCTATCTTCGACTCTTTGTTTCTATCTATCTCTTTCCGCTCCGCTCGTAACACGAATCTATCGCTCGGAATCTCTCTCTATGTATCGGGCGACATTTTCTGGAGAAGTGAGGAGAAATGAGGCGACTGAGCACTGACGTGACGACCTTCGTAGAAGTCTCCCCGCTACGAATGACTGATGCTCCGTCGTACCCGCACCGGTTTCCCGCCCCGGCGCTTTGGACCTGACGAGTCGGCCCAATTATGTCGCGCTCGATGAGTTGGGCCTTCTGCCTCCAAATTTGTATGAGCACTCGCCAGTCGCCAGTCGCCAGTCGCCACCACATGCAAAGATTCTCAGACAATGCTTTGGCTGGATGACAAATTCTTATCCTCACAATTTCGCAGACTGCCAATTGAGCTATTCATAGAGTAGCTCGTAAAACTCTAATGATGTTTCTTTAGAGCTAGCTAGTTTCATTTGATTGAGTGGTAATATGAGAATGATTATGATCTCTCTTGTTATTACTTGAAGGGAAAAAAATTAATGTAGTGGTAATATGCCAATAATCATCTCCAGAAGAAAAAAAATGAAAATTTTGGAGTTCTTAAATTGAGCAGATCTGTTATAAAAAAAATTGAGCACATCTAATTTTCCGTATATAGTTTATCCAAATTTGTATATAAAATATTCGGATTATGAGAGATTTTGATATTATTTCTAAAATAAAGAAACAATTCATTCCAATAATTCAAATGGGCATTAATGAACATTGTACGAGTACTTGTCACTCATTATAACTTATTCTTGTTGCATCATAAGTAACCTCTCAAGTTCTTCTCATAGAGGGGTTCAGAAATGATAAGTGGCAGCAGTTTTTATGAAGATAGAAATCTCATATACCAAATTAAATTTCATGCCCTAATGACCATATACCATAAGGTATCACTAAAGTTGCCTTAGTTGTGAATCTTTTGGAGAAGAAATTGACATAAAAAAGGAATATATGATAAGTTGATAACCACCGGTAAAGTCCCACTTTTTGCCACAGCACATTGCTTGGTTAACAAACAGCACCATTATTCTGCCACCACCCTTATCCTCTCCCAGACCCCACCACTCTAACTAAGACCAGAAGTTTGGTATCGGTATTTGAGATATACCGAATAATATACTAAATTTATTACTATTTGGTATTACTGACTACCGGTTTATTTTACAGAGATTGGGATTGTGATTCATATTAGAATGCTATTTCATATTCGGGATTACAAAATTGGGATCGATATATACTGAAATACCGAGAAATACCAAAAATTAAAAGTTAATGAAATATAATACACAACCTTTGGTCATTCCTTACTCTTTCACAATTTAGAAGCCCCCATCCAACTCAATCTTGACTTTCCAGTTTAAGTCACTCTCGTTTCTCACCTAATCTCTTGTTATTTTCATAACATCAAAAAACAAACACTAGTATATATTAGTCGTCTCTTAGCCTCCAATTCGTCAAATTAAAGATTACCAATGACAAGAATTTGAGTTGTCACCTCTCCTCCATTCTCTTTATTCATATCCTAGCTCTAGGCAAACTCAACTCTTTGCTTAGTCTCTTTGTCCTAAATTAAACAATGAAATCTCATTTATATATTTAATTCTTAATGACAAATGTAATTAATTTCGTATTCGATAATATCGATTGGGATACCGAAATATTTAGGGATTGGGATTGGGATACTGAAATTATTTAGAGATTGAGATTATAATTCAATATTCGAGTTTTCGATATTTGATATTGAAATACCAATATCGTACCGATTTCCATTCTCTTGGTTGCTTCCTTCCATCCACCCTCTTCCCCAACTGCCATCTCTACCCCTTAGTTTTAGACAATACAGCCAATATCCCATTATATTCCAATGAAAATCAGTTTCCCTCGATTTTTGGATTGATGATTCGGATGCATATGTTTTCTAATAGAATCTCACATTCGAATAATCTCATTCCTTCAAGTGAGAAGCTAGGAGAGCAAACTTGTAGAGAAACACAATTTTGTGACGAGGCTTTAGCTAAATCTGACCACGGTGACCTCCTGATTTTCGAATGATTCTTGTTATTCTCTTTGTAGCTACTAGTATTGATCACTATAGAAGAAAAAATTTCAAAATACACTAGTTATTAAAAAAAAATTATTAAAATAGGTTAGTTATAAAAATAATTCTCAAAATACATATATTTGTACATCACCGCAATGGACCAAGACAGTGAAATAGATCACCGCAACGAACAAAGACAGTTAAAGAATCACCGCAATAAAGGAAAATGGTGAACCAATCACCGCGTTTGACAAAAACAGTGAAACTATTCACCGCAGTCGTCCAAGACAGTGAACCAATCACCGCGTTGGACAAAAACAGCGATACGTTCACCGCTGTTGTGAAAAAACGGTGATTGTTTACCACGTTTTCCAGCCCTGGTAGGTAGAAAATTAGATCACAACGACCTAGTATTCACCGCAATAGGCCACGACGGTGAATACTTCACTGCAATGGACTCTTGCGTTGATGTTTGCTTATAAATAACCCATCCCCCACGTACCTGCCTAAAAAATCTGCCTCATCTGAAAGTGAATTTTTGATACCACTGCATGTACCCATCGTGGTACGCCATTGGCCTCGTCTTCGGCCTTCTTTGGAGCACCCAAGTTGCTCTATTCTCCAAATGTTGATGTAGAACTCATGCTTGCGGATCCAATCCTTTGATTTATGGCGTAGGTCAATGGCATGAAGCTCCTTGAACCTTGAGGCGGGGATGCTAGAATTGGTTGCTACAATCGATATTGCCTCAAAGCTCCAACCGGCAGGTGCCCCTCCACCATGTGCCAACAGATCAAGGGCACATTGAACAACCACGTCTCATGATCCTAGGGGTGTCTAAGACGATGCAGCTCGACCGCTTCATTTGGATATGGGTCCCATGTCACCTACACTCGTTAATAACGTGCAATTAGTACCAATTATATCCACTCCTTATTAAAAAATTAAAATATTCTAAAGACATATGTGCCTGGTTCGGCCAAGGCTTATCAAACTCAGCACGATAAAACAGTAAAGAGTGCTCTTAGGCTGGTGGTCGTTTATATTTGCTCTGATCCACCTTGTAAGCAAAAATACGCATATAAGAACTTTTTAAAGCATAGATGCTAAGCATGTGAGAGTTTTCTAAACACTTACTTAATCAACTTAAGTAATAAATCTAAATTAAATTAAAATGGCATAGTTGGAATACATCAAAATCATACTTATCTAAATTAAATAAATTGCATGCTTGGAATAAATCTAAATTAAGTTCACGTGCATACTTGGAATAAATCTAAATTAAATTAAACTGCATACTTGGAATAAATCTAAATTAAGTTCACATTTATACTTGGAATAAATCTAAACCTAAATTAAATTGAATACTTGGAATAAATTGACTCACTCCTACTGTCACTCTAGAAAATGGCCAAGTGTAACCACTTCCTAAAGCGTAGTATAGCGGGTTTGGGTTTTAATGTCAACCCGGGTCCTAGATTTGATGACTACTCGGTGAATTCTTGTTATCTAGCAGTGAAACTTTAGTGCAAGTCCAAATTAACAAACAAACAAAGCAAGTTAAACGGTTGTTTTCAAGTCGAGAGAGGTCACCCGGATATGGTCCCCCTAGACTGCAGTTAAGCCGGATTGCAATTTACCAAGTTCAGTTTTCATGAAAGTTATACTGCGGAAGGTTCTTAAACAGTCTGAAGTCTCGACTAAAGGTCTCCAGACCCTCTCAATCTGAGTCTCCAGTGGGAGACTAACCTCCACCGGAGTAAACAGATTGAGGCCCTAACGAACCAAACCTCCACTACCGAAGTAAATTCGATACAGAATAGTGAATTGGCTCCTCGACTAGAGTCGCCAATTCACTACCTTCAATTAAGGGTACTCTATCAACCTAGGTAGATGTTCTCTTTCTAGGTTAAAGCAGAAACAACAGGAATTTGATCAGGATTCAAGTCATTCAATCATTCAAGCCTCAATCGAATATAATCAAATCATAAAATCTGTACTTGGGTTCATACAATCAGACCTAACATACAAATCTAGGGTTCCCCATACCGAGATGAATGGGGATACTACTCCATGGAGAGAGAAGCAAAAGCAGATTCAGACGCGGAAATCATACTGTGAAGGATGAGTATCTGTCCCTGGTTGTCAATCGGCACTTCTCCAAGCTCAAGTCGGGCTCCAATGGTGATGAAGATCAAGCTATGGCACTTGGGAACTCTGGTTCGTCGCTTTCTCTCTCTAGGAATTGCTCTGTCTCTCTAAAACTCGGAACCACCTTCTCCGTTGGCTCAAATCTGCCTAAAAACCCGATTCTGGGCGAAATACGGGCAGAATTACGGTCGTAATCTTGGTCTGCCTGTAAATCGCCCAAAACGCGCGTTTCACTTTACTCTGATGGGGGTGGAATTAAGACCTTAATATCCAGATTACCGCCAGTAGTTACTCAATTACGGTCGTAATTTGTGGGACACTTGCCCGTAATTCCACTGCCGAGAGGAATTCTGGGGAAATTAGGCTCGGCTTTGCTTTTACGGGCATGCCTGGACCAATTACGCCCGTAATTTGGCAGGGGCTGCCCGTAATTTGCTCTGTGAATCGCCACCTGACCTCCAAATGACCTGAAACTTGCGCCTATGCACCTCTTTACTTGCTAGGACCTGAAATACGACAAAACAACACAACCTAGCGTAAAATAGGCCAAGGAACAATCAATTCGAGCTAAAATGGTCAGGGAACAACAATGAAAACATGTGCAAATGCGACGCTATCAAATTCCCCCACACTTAACCGTTTGCTTGTCCCCAAGCAAACCAAGTCAGATACAAGGTAAGCTCGAAAAATCTCAATCATGAACCCCTCGGGGCATATCACATAGGCACGAAACATGGGAATCACACCGGCTTTCAAACATCAACACATGAACAACTTCACCCGCAACCTGGACAACCACCACAAAGGACATTCGAGTGCAGCAAAATCGAGTAAGGGAGGAGTCTCCCTTCTGTTCACCAACCAACGTAGACTTGACTCAACCACTTACTCAAGACAGTCACCTCATGCACAAAACTCAAGATATCAGAATTGAGACCGAGCAATCTAGGTCTTCACCGGGGTAAAGAGTATAGATAATATGAGAAAATGAATCGCTCACTCTCGACTAGTGGGGTCAGGACAATTCGATGCGAAAAATGCGCATGCTTATTCTCTCAATTCCTAACGTCTCTTCACCATGAAGGCAGCCTCTAAATGTTAGAGTTCACATATAGGGTGTCACCACTAACTAATCGGAGGTCTTAGACACAGGTTCAAATGACTGGTTAGGGTCTTGGACATGGCGAAAAGGCCTTTTCGGTGGTGGAAATATTCATAGCACAAGGTTCCACAGTTCCCAATCCAACACAATCACAACCAATCAAACCAGTATTTCCTTTCTGCCATTCTGCATTACTCAAATTCTCTAGAGCACAAGAGCGAAGGAGGTTATATAAATGTCAGCATTTCCAAGCCAGACTGCTAAGAAACACTACTTAATGGGCATTATTCAGATTTTTGGTAGTGGCTCTGCTTTCATTTTTTTCTTTCTTTCTTTTTTTCATTTCTTAAGAGAACCACCACCTCTGCACATTTTTCAAACACATGCCCAATTTTTAAGCACTACCTCCAACCCTCACATTATATTTAGCAGAAGCAGCAGAGAAGATGTAAAAACCACTCTGTGGAACCTTCTAAGAGATGCAAAAGGGTGGTTTTCCATTGTAGACCGAAAGAAAGGATAACACACGGCTCAAAGGGGCTGACTAGGGGGTATGACACACCAGGATAGTCAATTTGGTCGTGGGCTAATCCTATGCCTCCATCATCTTAGCTAATGACAACGTGAATGCTGCACATCATGGAAGAGGGATCTATCGTACAAGAAAGAAACGAGCAGGCTCAAATCTCACATGGCTACCTATATGCTCTATCTCTCATTCTGATTCCCTAAACTAGGTGCATAAACGACTGTCAAGCAAGTGATCAATCCAAGTCATAGTTGGTAAGCGAACAGTTGAAAAACCGAACCCCTACACAATTCTACTGCACGTCTCAGTCATCATTATATGTTGTCCTAGTCACATTCCAGTTGTCATGCATTAATCCGAAAACCATTCAATTCACCAATCAAAACCACAGTGCCAATATGATCAAGCAAACAGCAATGCTTGGAGCCCTCAAATCTCGAGATTTGGACAGCGGACTAGGCTCCAAGCACACATTTATACGTTCCAATGAATACAAAGAACCCCCCCCCCCCCACACACACACACACTTAAATGCGACAGTGTCCTCAATGGAACAGAGGGAAGGGGAACGATGTTACCGTGAAACAGTGGTCAGGAACATGGACGGGATGGCGAACCAGTCAATAGCAGAGGACTGGACAAGGACCAGTCCAACGGGCACAGAGCTAGAGGCAACAAAACACACACACATTGGGTGAAAGAACCCATAGTTCCAAGTCTACAATCCAAACAACCAGGACAAGAAAAAGAAACAAACACAATACAGAGTCTAAGTCTAGAAAGAGAGACAAAAGCAGAGCCCAACTCGATGGGCAGCAAGCAAAGTCAGCTCAGTACTCATCGCCTCCGTCGCCAGCTGGAGGCGGGTAGTAATCCTCATGCCCCGGGGACGCCTCCCAAGGGTAGCTAACAGCAGCAGGGTCCATGTCCCAGTAGCTCATCATGTAATGCTGAGGCGAAATGATGCGGCGGCGACCTTCGCGCCCACGGTCGAGTCGGGCATTGATGTGCTCCTGGCCAGCAAGGATCTGCTCATTCTGGCGGGAAATGGCTGCCAGTTGCTCAGCAATGTAAGTGGTGGGCCCAGCAGTAGACGGGCCGACAACGGAGGTGGAGGCGCCAGGCGCAGAAGGAGTGGTCCGACGATTTGTCCGAGTGGTCCCAGGGGAGCAAAGATATTCAAGACCAATCACCAACCACAAAAGATTAAACGTACTTGGAGCCCTCAGATAATAAACCCGGATATCAAATGAGGCTCCAAACGGGACAATCACACACATATGTTGCACGGTAGGCCAACCAAAATAGTAACATCAAAGCATTTAATACCGGAGGCCTACCGAATTCATTCAAACACGACCCAACCCCCGAATTCCCTCACTAAAAGCCCATAATACCAATCCTCCACAATTCACAAAGAAAAAGAGAGAAGCACACCTGGAGGCACAAGAGGGTATCACACGGAAGGTGAGGGAAGAGGGGACTCCACGACATTCGCCGGAAAACTCGTAGGGAGGCTTGCCGGAGTTTCATCGCCGGCGACTTCACCACTGCCAAAATGACCCAAAACTTTGGGGAATGAGGGCCCGGATGCCAGGAACGCGGTGGTGGTCGCGGTTTCTCGATTGGAGGTCGGGGGAGAGAGATCGGGCCGGAAGAGCACCGAAGGGTTGCGGTTTTCCGGAGACCCAAACCACCGCCAAACTCGACCCCACTGGTATAGACTTGTGGGCGCCGACGAGAGGAGCACGGGAGTGGTCTCGGATTTCAATTTGGAGCTCCGATGAGTGAGTTATGGCCGGAAAACCACCGGAGAAAAAGGTGGGGCGATTTTCCTGTGAGAAAAAAGAGAGAGGTTGACTAGAAAAAGTGAGGGGAGAGAGAGAAATCTCGGTGGAGCCCGATTTTTAAATTTCCGGGGGCAATTACGGGCACAATTACGACCGTAATTGCCCCCCTTCCAGCCCGTAATTCCACTATCGAGAGGAATTCTGGGGAAATTAGGCTCGGATTGCTTTTACGGGCATGCCTGGACCAATTACGCCCGTAATTTGGCAGGGGCTGCCTGTAATTTGCTCTGTGAATCGCCACCTGACCTCCAAATGACCCGAAACTTGCGCCTATGCACCTCTTTACTTGCAGGACTTGAAATACGACAAAACAACACAACCTAGCGTAAAATAGGCCAAGGAACAACCAATTCGAGCTAAAATGGTCAGGGAACAACAATGAAAACATGTGCAAATACGACGCTATCATAAATCTAAATTATATTAAATTTACTTGACACCATAGGGGGATTTGCTACATCTCGTAGCTCCTCATTTGGCAACCAGAATTCTCGCGGGTCTCGAGGTGCGAACCTCGGAAGATGCTCCCATGCCCAGAGTTGGAGGATGAACATCGCACCACCAGTTTGTTTCGCTCCCAACTTCGAGCAAGTACACAGCTCGCGGTGGACCCCTGCTAACACGGTCGACGCCCAACTCTTTCTCCCGATCTCGTCCCAGTCACCTAGGAGCAACGACAACCACATGCCTTGTATCCACCGGTTTGCCTTGTCGGGGAACAGAAACCCACCAACCAATCCAATGAGATAGACGCGCGCATACCGCTCCACTTGATCTTCGGGCGTGTCCGGGCCAATAGCTCCCTCATTGTTGATGGCCGCAACGAGCCACGGGATCGATACTTGCCTCTCATTCAGCGGTGGATGTCCATGTCCTCGGACTTCAGTTTGGGTCGGCATGTTGAACTCCATACGCTCGAGAATCAGCGACCCCCACCCCTTCTTCGGGTTTTCCCGAGCGGCCGATGATGGCATCTCCAGTGACCGGCTGTCCGGTGAGGATGATAACGTCTTTGAGGGTGATCGTCATTTTCCGATCGGGAAAGTGGAAGATATGTATTTCGGGCCGCCATCGCTCTGCCATTGCCTTCAGCAGATCGTTGGCAACGTCAGTTCGTATAAAGTGCCTCAGCATGTCCAATCCCGTCCTCTCTAGATACGGCGAGAATCGATCATGCCAAGCGGGCAATCTTGTTGTCCCTCGATGACCGACGGGAATGAGTGATTCCCACAAAAAAATAAAACAAAAACCATGAAGTTGTTAGTCAAAGGAAAAGAAAATAAAAACTTTTAAAATAGTGAAATAATTTACAAATTTATACAGTACGGAGTGTATACCGGATTGTTGTGCCAAATCACTCAGGAGCTATGTGTTTCTTGCTACCTCACATCCCCTGGGCCATGATGGATATACAATCGAGGGTCGTATATCTTGGCACCCATCTATAATTTTTTTTGAATGAAATCAGATTATTTCGTACCTATTTAAATAAAAAAGTCACGAGAGAAAAAGAAAGTACGTACCCTCAGAGCCTCTTCGTCCATTTTTTGGCGAAAGATGCAGAGAGTAATGACGGGTGATTAATTCAATGTCAATGACTAGCGCGGTGATTAATTAACTGCGTTCAATGCAAACAATGATTAGTTCACTGCTTTCGTATACTGCAGTGATCAAGTTCACTGTCTTAGACCATTAGGGTGATACAAACTTCGAAAATTATTTTTATAACTAACGTATTTTGATAACTTTTTTTAATAACTAACGTATTCTGAGATTTTTGCCCAATATAGATGTACTTCATGTTTACTTGTTCTGATTGATATTTTTTTCCAGAATGTTAACAATGAAAATGCCATTTTGTGGATGCGGAACATATGCATAGAAAGGTAGCCTAGTTGGGCAAAAGACTTGCATAGAACAGAACAAGAACAGGAAGCTCTATTTACAGATAGCCAAAACAAAAGGGAGTTGCAGATTTCCCACCGTTCCAAAGGACCCAAAAGCAGAGCATCTAGGGAGCGCTCTCTCTCAGTTACTTTACCTCATTGCAGAGGACAAAGGACAACGAAACTACATGCAGTAATACCTCTAGTACACATTGCAAACAACACACACACAGATCACAAAAATACCACAGCAAACTCTGAGATACCCCCTAGTCTCCTTTTCTACAACAGCTTGAGATGGACACTGGACAGACGAGACGTTACAGCCGCAGAAGAAGAAGCCGGGAGGTACAAGAAGGTATCACTTCGTTGGTTTCGCCCATGATTCAACGTTGTTGTTGTTGTCGTCGTTGTTCGTTGCTGTCATATATCAGACGTCGTAAGGAGAAGAAGGGCTTCTCGGTCCAGCCCCCGGGCTGCCAACGACGACAGCCTCCTTCTCGTATGCATCTGATGCTGACCTTCGCCGGAATCTGAATGACCCTCTGTTTCCTAGGTACCAACATCACATTTACACACAATGTGTTAGCCACCGTTGCTAAAGATTTCTAATAACATCAAATTCCCACATACCCAGCAAACAATTACGATTCTAAAGATCTTATCATTGTTGTCAATGGTATCTTAGGACGAGTAATACTCAAATAGAATGCATTGCTCGTTCTAGGAGATCAATGCAATCGATTTTTCAATCTTATATTTGCAACTCAATCGATCGACAACCACACATCAACATCCAATTCATTTTGAAAACGAGGTTGACCATATCCGAATTTCGGAAGGACCAAGTCACCGATGAAAACAAAGGATGAGCAACATGTACCCTAGAAACTTTGAATCATTCCTACGTAACGTTGTTCCAGAATCGAATATTGAAAAACTAAAGTTGAAGGGTTGTGGGCCAAATGGCTGCAATAGTGCTAGACGATCAGAGATCATAATTCATAAATGAGAGACGATGTGCATAATATAATTGGACTTTTCCTTTGTAAAGATGACAAAACGATGTCACTTTCAACAGCAAAACCTAACCCACCACCACTATGACAAATTTACTCTCAATTATTATCTATCCCACCCGACTTGATACCCAACAAAGCACCATAGCAAATGACAAAACTACCCTTGCCGAAGACCGGACCGGACCGGACCCGAGTCTTCTAGACCATTACCAAACAGTCTGCTTTCCCAAACACTCACTCGCTAGTCACCAGTCTCAGTCAAGGCTATTCCAGGCATTCGGTAAAAAGGTCGGTCAAAATGGGCAATGTGTAGGAAAAAAGCCGGACCTACTCTTGAATCTTGGAAGGAAAGAAAGCGAATGAGCCTTACCGGAAAATGGGGACACAGGCGGAGTAGATCCGGCGGGAGATACCGGCGGAGAACCACTCTGGTACCCCGGCGGCTTCACTATCATGATGCTTCTCGTCACTCTCGTCGCTGTCTCGTCGCCGTACGACTTCACGTTGCCGGCGTCGGAATCTGGTTCCGGGAAAACAGGAAGTAGTTAGCCGTCAGTTGGAAAAGGGCCAGAAGAATTGGGGAAAATACTAGCTCCGATAACAATAATTTTCCAAGCAATTTTCATCGTTACTCGTCAATAATTCCCGATCACAGGATTACATGGAGCTAATTAATTAACTGCACGGCAATCGCAGGAATCAGAATGGGAAAATAGAAATCCAATTTTTAGGGTCAATTGGTTCCTTCGATCGCGGATGGGGGGAAAGGGGATAACACGACGAAGCTGCATACCCTTGCCGGAGCTAGCCCGGAAGCTGAACGTTTTGTGCTTCCGGAGCTTGCCGAGGCCGTTGTCCGGGGTCGGACCGGCGACGGTGTCGTCCCATAGCTGATCGAGAAGGCCCATGGAATGGAGGAGGCTGTTTTTTCGCGGGCTGAATCGGAGGGTTGATTTGGTTTTTTCCCACCGGCGGAGAAGGACGTTAGATCTCAGAGACAGAGAGCGTAAAAGAGTGAGGAAGCTAAAGAGGGAGAGCGGGGAGATATTTAATGGCGGCATGGGGGGCAAAATGGCGACCAACTCTCGCGGGAAGATGGAAAGATCTGGACCGTCGATCGAGATCTGAGGGGAAAATGGGGGGTTGGGATGACGTGGAGAGCAGATCGAGGATCCCGGTGTTATTGGGATAAGATCAGTGTTAAATTTTAGGAAATGGTGGAATGACGAAAATGTCCACTGACAAGTTGACGCCTTAGTTTTAAGTTTTTACATATTTAGCACCAAATTTTAAAATAATTATTAAAACTGTCACCATATTTTTAGGTCTGAAAAATATCAACACATATTAATTATTATTATGCATCTTATTTCCTTTCGAGTTTCACTAAATAGATAAGAAAGGAGTCCAAAAAGAATGGATCCAGCTGGTTTGGGTAACACAAACATAAATATGTGAAATAATGTAAATGGACGAACATGAATTGCACTATTTAGTCCAAATTGCTCAAATTATTTGTATCTATATATTTTATATTAACTTCTCCATAAATCATTGCTTCCACTAATTTGACTATTACATTCATGACATGCAATGTGATGTGATGTGAACAAACTTCAAATATTTACGTAATTGATGAATAAACAAGTTTGTCCTCGTATATTTGTGAATATCATATTACATGCTGTCCAAGTTTGATTTATTCCTCTCATATTTATTTTCATCAAAGGTTTATACCATAACTTAGTTATGCAAAAAGTAGAATGCCACTCCATATAACATAAAGTCTAACAATAAAAAGGGTCTTACGAATTTGAAATAACTTATATTAGTGACTCTTACCCAAGCTCATCTAAACAAAATCTATCATCCAACCCAAAATCACAACTTGTGTTATCCGAAATAAGCCTAAATCTGATCATTACTCATTGGGTCTCTTTAGTCTAACAATAAAAAACGCCACGACTTATCATCAATTTGACATATTTGTACTGATTCAGGTTTCAAACTTACGTGGATATGAATTGATTGATAGTGATGCTGGTTAATCAAAAGTTCAAAACTTGAAGAGATAAGTTTTTAGAAAAAATCAAAGCTGAGTGGCCAGATTGCTAGTGGTCCAAAAATATGGTGATCCTTATCAATATTGATGCATATTTTTTCCTAGGGTATGGGACCCACGCCCTCAGAAGCTTTGAGAAGAAATATGCTTACACATGGCGGATATACACAAGCTAGAGGCAGACAAGTCACGTTCGCAGGGTATGGGAAATGCCCAGGTTGCCCTTTGGTTTCCTTTCCTGCTGAATGCCCCGCAGGTTTGTCATTATTACGGTCTTGCCATTGGTTGTGATATTTGTTTGTTTTGTGACCAGGCGGATTATCTTGTTTGTGTGGTCAATTATGGTTTGGTATTCCAACAAAATTTCAGTTTTATGATCAACTTCGCATGAGTTTAACGATTTGGATTCAATTCGGTGAAATGATTCCATTAGCCGTCGATTTAACCACTCAATCAATTTCATTATGTCTTTTAGGGTACGAATGAAAACATTAATATTTTCTATATATATAGAGTAACCACGTACGAGCTTGCCACTTCCAGGTAGGGGTGGGCAACGGGACGGGAAGGGATACCCGTCCCGTTTTAAACGGGTACCCAGTCCCATTTGGAGACCAAAGTCCATCCCATATCCCAAATCCATATGGGAAACGGGTACCCATTATCCGTACGGGACGGATAACGGGTACCCATACTACCCATAAATACCCAAAGTTTAAACCACTAAAATTTTAACAAAAGTTTAAACTTAACTTGTATTTGCTTAACAATCACAAGACCCAAAATACATCCCAATCACAAATACTTGGTTTGCAAATTACACATTCATGAACAATCACAACACATAGAAATAAATCATTTCAAGTACCAAATTATCAAAAAAAAAGTTTCATTCAACACATCCCAACCCTCTCTACTAATTCACCAAACATGTCAGTGAAAGAGTGAAAGGGTAAGGGCCCAAATGGAATTGAAATTGAAAGGGTAAGGGCCGAAATGACCAATGAGTTTTGAAATGGGTTGGGCTGAATTAAATTTCTGCATTTGTATTGAATGGGTATAACGGGTACCCATATTACCCAAAAGGGTATTCGCGGGTAACCCGCGGGTACCCATATTAGGAATGTACAATCCCAAGTCCCATCCGTTTATAATATTATGAGTAATATGGGTACCCGTAACCCTTAAAAAACGGGACGGGTACGGGTATACCCAAATACCCATTTCCCGTTGCCCACCCCTACTTCCAGGTTCTAGGAGTGTCTCTAGGTGCATTGACCAATACTTGACAATCATTCTTGATGATAGCAGAGAATCTAGCATGCCAAGTAATGCTTTACATTTCGTCACAAATTGTCAATGGATAAGGTAGGCGCTTTACAATCAAATCGTGAAATGTAAATTTATGAATTTAGGTTCATCAAGTTTTCGGTCAGACATCAAGCTGTCGGCGGCTCTGACACATGACCGAATGAATAGAAGGAACAAATAAAGGGGGAAAATAACGACCATAATTGGCTGAAAAATTAAAAATTAGTAAAATTTTTTTTTTGTTTTATGAGATTTTGATCCAGTTCATAGTTCATCGTCATCCTTAAAATGATTAAATGAATTGCAATAACAAAAGAAATAGCCATGAGAATTCAAAATTGAATCAAAGTGGCGGTCAATACAGTCAAATTAAAATGAAAATATTGAGTTGATGTCGTTCGATCCAGTATAAATCCTGGTCCACCCCTTTTCAAGTAACATAAAATGAGAAATTGATAATTAAAACTCTAAGGTCTAGAACTTACTAATTTTTATTAGGATAATTAAACAGTTCAGCCTCTGGTTTCCACAACTTTATGATTACGATCTGCATATGAAAAGGGAAAATAATAGGCCATTACTGTACATGTTAACTATTTTGAGACAACCCACTTGGGATGTTAATAGGGGTGATAATCGGTTCGGTTGCGGTTAAACCGAACCGACGGGTCGGTTAGCCGACACCTATTAGAGGTCAAAACAGCCAACCGCAACCGCAACCGATTGTCCAATCGGTTAGCCGAAACCGCTAACCGTCGGTGTCGGTTCGGTTGGTCGGTTGACTATCAACCGGAAATTAATTGAAAAGAAAAATAAAAATTCCAAAAAAATATAAAACAAAAATAGAAATTAACAGCCCTACCTCTAGCATTCTCGATCCTTCTCCCCATCTCATTCTCTGTTACCCTATCCTCTCTCCAAAAGAAAACCCCTCTCTCTAATCTCTCCATTCCTATCGCAAGCTCTCTCTGCCACCCTCTACCCTCACCAAAATTTCAAGAAAATCATCAATTCCCGTCGACTTCTTCCTCCGCTCTGAATCCTTCCATCGATTTTCTCTGGTCTACCTTCTCTCCTTTGCCTTGGAGCGAAACCAAAAGTGGCTGGATCTTGACGTCATCGCTTTCTTATCGGCAGAGGCGACAACTTCGGTAGGGGTCCATCGGCGGAGGACATGCATGGTGCTCGGCTAATTGATCTCGACGCCATAGAGGATTTGATTGTCCTGCTGGCAAAGCCCCGGGCTTTTCTCCACTCTCATCTCCACCGCCGCCGGAATAGATGGGGGAAGAAGGCGGAGCAGCGTTGGTCAGCGGGAGGATGGCGACGCGAAGAAGGCCGGGAGCGGGAGGATGGCGCTCGACGGCGAGGCTAGGGTTCAGCCGTTCAGAAATGGGGAGGCGGAGGAGAGGCGGCTGAGATTCTTTCTGATATCGCCTCGCCTCCTTCGTCTTCGATTTGGGATTTAGAATTAGGTCAGGGGAGGCGGAGCACTGGGTGGCCGAGAAGAGAAGAGGTCGCCCAAAGAGAAACGACGCCGAATTGACTGATTGGGTCGGTTTTGGCGGTTAGTCTGTTCGGTTGCGGTTTTTAACCGCTAACCGCTACACTCTGAACCAAGCTGGAAACAGGCAACCGCAACCGCTAACCGCAGCCCATTCTCGGTTTTCGGTTGGCCATCAAACCGACGGTTTCGGTTCGGTTGACGGGTTAACCGGAAAACCGGAGACCGATTAACAGCCCTAGATGTTAACATCTATGGTGGGGCCGGGGCACCATATGGAGAATTGATGATGAAGAAATTACTATGTAACACCAAATAGATAACTAAAATTATTATCAACTCGCAAATAAATAATGCTATATATTCCTTTTCTTGTTTCCTATATTTTGTCTTGAACATATTGATGTTGAGTGTCGGTCTAGATTCATTTTATTTTATTAATGAACCCTACCTAATCCTGATCTTTCGTGGATTAGATAATAGATTGGGGTTAGGAAGAGCAGGGTAACAATGTTTTCAGGATATACCTAACAACAATGAAGACAAATAAAAGAATATTGACGGGGAAATAAATAAATATATAAAGTTAATATGGATATAATTTATGTACAGAAAATGAGGGTTACGTTGTCCTTCTCATGTGTACAAGGATCAGTATCTCCTCAATTAATCTTACTTATTGTGGAGAAACAATATCGACTGATAAGTTTTTAGTGATTGAATAGTGAGGTGGTAAAATATATGTTATGAATTAAATTAATGAGAATGTTAACTTGATTTGAGATTGTTTTGATACATGTACTTCATAATAGTTCTTCAATGGTTGTTTTTTTTTTTTTTTTTGTTTGCTCTCCACCTGAATCCGTATTGCTAACACCATAACTCTTAACTAGTTATTACTCTTCAGCTTCTCTAGCTAGCGCCAATAGGTACTAGGTTAATCTCGAACTTGTCTATAGACTATAAATAGACTAATTTTATTCATGTCCATCTAAATTAATATATATCGTTTAATTTTTGTATTATTAACATATTCCAAATACATCACTTTCATATTGGACACAATATGATTACTTTGGAGACGGGTAAATGACACATTTGGTCACTGAGATTACTAAATTGTGCCATGTATAGTCA